TTAAGTGTTTTTCTAATTTATGTAGTAAAGCCAAATGAGGGAAAGTTTGCCTCAGCCTTAAACCTGATCTTAAGGAGATTCCACATTTGTGAGGAATGGGGGGTGGTTGAGAGGCTTGAACTCTGGACCTAGGCGCTCTCCCTGACTTCCTCAGCTCAAGGCTAGTGCTCTAGTACCTGAGCAACAGTGCTACTTCCATTTTTCTAGTGGTTAATTGGAGATAGGATTTCAATAGACTTTCTGCCCCAGACTAGCTATGAACCAGTAGCCTCAGATCTCACGCCCTTGAGTAGCTAGGATGACAGATGTAGGCCACCGGGGCCTAGTGAAAATCCACATTTTATTTTATGTTTATATGTATGTGTTGGAATAGACTGAGACATAAAAACAATCTATATCTCTCTTGCTATGGCAGGGAGAATGTTCCAATGCATAAAGTTATTAAACCAGTTTAAAATGTCCAGAAACTCTATTCTCTCCATATCTTCACTTCCTCCATATACCTATATAAAACACTCATTTTGCCTTTATCTTATCTCTTTCTAGAGTCATTACAGAGAATTGAGATTAGCACATAGAGGAAAAGCAGGTCCTCATCCCTGCAAGCACCAGTAGATCTACACATAGGACAGCAGACTGATTGTGACTTGTCCTGTTTGAATGAATCATATTCTCTAGTCTAAAACTAAGACACATGGGCACCATGGAACTATAATGATTTCCTGAGATGAGCCAGCCTTGCAGGAATATCCATCTTTGCCCAGCCCTGCTGATTTGCATTTGCCTAATTCAAATGTTACTGCCACAATGATTTCATAATAAGCTGTTCACACCTGCACAGCAGTCAGTCACAGTCAGCACACAGCATGAACATGAGGACCCCTGCTCAGCTCCTGGGGCTCCTGCTGCTCTGCCTCCCAGGCAAGGAAGGATAATACTTCTCTCACCCTGTGTGGTCAGTGATGCCTGTGGCTTCAGGGAAGTCCTGTAATAACATGACTAATAATGTGGATATTTGCTTTTATGTTTCCAATGCTAGGTGCCAGATGTGACATCCAGATGACCCAGTCTCTATCTTCCCTGTCTGCATCTCCAGGAGACAGAGTTACCATCTCTTGCAAAGCCAGTCAGGGTATTATCAATTATTTCGCCTGGTATCAACAGAAACCAGGGAATGCTCCAAAGCTTCTGATTTCTTATGCAACTAGTTTGGCCTCTGTGGGGTTCCATCAGTGGCAGTGGATCTGGGACAGACTATTCTCTCACAATCAGCAGCCTTCAGCCTGAAGATTTTGGCACTTATTACTGTCAACAGCATATTAATTACCCTCCCTCAGTGATACAAGCCATGATAAAAACCTCCCAGGAAAGCAGAAGTGAGATACTGGCCTGACCCAGCTGCTTCTCTTTGTACCTCTACCTGTTGACAGTGCTTCTCAGATGCAGCCAGACTCTAAAGGAATAATTCCCTCTGCAATCTAGCATTCTATTCTTCTTAGATCCAGCAAAATACCCATGGCACTGAGTCTCTGATTTAATAGTTGAAACCAATCGTTACATATGAGGAGTGCCCATAAATTATTTTGGACATTCCACTTCACTAAAATATAAAATAGATTATTTTCAATCAGTTTCTTCATAGAAACTAAAATAGCTGCTCAAATAAAAATGGTCTTTTTGAGGTTTTCTGAATTTATGTACTAAAGAATCTACAAAACAATTTATGTAGGCCACTGATCTTCTGAAAATTGATGTCTTCCTATCCTCTCCAAGCACATTTATATTAAGTGATATTTTGATTTCTTACTTTAAAAATATCCAGCATACAGGACAAAATATTTCTATAGTCTGTCCATCAACCATTATAAATGTGCTAACCCCTGCCTCATTCAAGCCAGCCTAGATTAGAAGCTCCAATTCTATTGGCAAATCCGTCCTCTTCAACTTAATTTCCATTTGTTAGAAAAGGTATCTACTATTTTGCTCAGAAGAAAAATGAGAATTCAAGAGCAAGATGAGGAAAAAATGAGATAATATCAGAAAAGTGAGCATTTAGTGTTTCAAGAACCTCATGCAAGCTCCCAAGTGTGTGCTCAGAATTATGAATGTAAAAGTTGGAATTAAGAGGCTTCACATCTTAGCCCAATTCTCAGTTCTATTTGTTTGTAATTAATAATCATCTCTTTGAAAAAAATATAAAGATGAGTTTTGACACAATAGCCTTCTATTGGCATCTTCACAGAGCCAAAGACCAGGAGAGGGAAGGAATCAGGACCAGCACAACATCAGCACTGCTGAACTTGGGGTTCAGAGTATTTCAGAAGCTGAGAAGACTAAACTGGAAACCTCCCCCCCCCACACACACACCCCTTCATGGCTCAATCTAGCAGAACCAAATGCACAGAATCTTGTGAGGAAAAATCTCATTACAACCCTCAATCACCTATAATAGGTTTTAGAATTTTTTAAGGTATAATTCATATAAATGTATGGTTTATTTTTATGCCATTATTCTATTAATCAATATGCTTTCAATGCAAATTCAGAAAGAAAAGCAGACAAGAAAGCCATTTCAAAATATACAGATTCTTCCAATAACAGGATGTGTATGTTTAATACATTGAGTGATAAAGTGGAGAATATATTTATTTTGTCAAAGCTTCCTGACTCCCATACAAGTGTTCTACCAAATGAGCCATTCCCCATCAATTCTTAATTTTTTTAAATTGGACTGGCAATGCACTTTCACATTCAGACTTTGTATTCTCATAATATGGAAAAATTAGTTTGGATCTTTTCACAAGGAGTCACTGAAACTTAAAATCCAGGATGAACTTGGGTTAGGAAGGGTTCAAAATTTCCCTTTCCTCCATGATCATAAACCAGGCAGCACTCTGAGCCCCACCAATTATAAATAGATATAAGTTGAGATCTTGATAGAACAATGACTTAAAAGAGAAATTTCTACTGCTGTCCTAATTTCTTTATGAACTTTTCAGTCAATAGATGTTTACAAATATCACTGGGATTGCAAAGAGACTCTAGAAAGCTCTTGACAATATATAAGGTTATTAAGATGTTAGAAAAGAATCAGGTCTAGAGGTAAGTTCTTCAAACACCCAGAGCCAAGGCCGGACAACCGTTAGACATACATTCACTGGATCTGAATCCCCAGGTCACATAGATTCCCCAGAATTCTCAGCCTTTCTTGAATAGAGTACCTGCATCCTCCCCAGGGAGGAGATCAGAGCACAGTACCTGGGACTGTGCCACCCCGTCCTTAGTCTTGTTTCAACCCGATTAAGAGATCTCATTTCCTAAGCTGTCAAAACTAGCAATCCCATTTAAATAATCAGAAGTTGCCATAGTGTCATCCTGAATGCCGAGCTTACTCCAACCACTGCAGTTACTTCCCAAACATATCTGTGCCTTCCTCTCACACCTAGACTAATGAAGGAATAAGAGATATTTAAATGATTTACAATGCAACTGAACCTTCACAGCAGCTATCCTTTCTCTCCTTTGCTACTTTAGGGTACTACTTCTGATCTGCAGATATAGAAATTAGAGGTAAGCCCTTCTCATCTCCGGGCAGTAACAGAAATTTGGGCACATGTGATAAGAAAGAGATATAAGAGGAATAAGGAACAGGTGCTTAATGGGATAGAGTTTGAAAGTGATTTACCTTGAATCTGAATTGGAATATTAAACTTGTACTGGAACTATGGATGTACTATAGCCCTTTTGAGAACATGAGACATTAACACAGTATGGTATTTGAGAAAATCAGGCATTCAAAATCCATAAGGAAGCTGGGCACTGGTAGTTTATGCCAGTAATCCTAGCTTCTCAGCAGTCTGGAATATGAGGATCACAATTTGAAGCCAGCTGAGACAAGAAAGTCAATGAAACCCTTATTTCCAATTAACTACCTGAAAAACAGAAGTACAGCTCTAGTTCAGAGCAGTAGAGCACTTACGCCTTGAGCAGAAAAGCTCAGGGACAATGCCCAGGCCCTGAGTTCAAACCCCACAGTGAAAAAAAAGTACATGGTCATTGTGACAAGTCAGAACTAATGAAGTAACTTTGGTCTTTTCTGGCAGCAACATGCTTTGGCTCCAGCCCTGGAACCATCAAACCGCAGGACATGGCATACTTGAGCCAGTACTATACGTGCTTTCAATAATTTTTCTATCTTATGAAATAAAGTAACATAAACAAGGAAAAACTTGACTCAGTCTCACATCTACTGAAGGAGAAGCCATTAGTTTTTTGATTGTAGGGCTACAACTCTAGATCTTGGTGATGTCCTTCAGCAATTCAGCTCAAGGCTACCGCTGTATCACATGAGCCATAGCAACAGTTCTGGGGTTTTTGTTTTTTTTTTTTGGTGGTTTATTGGAGATGATTCTCCCAGACGTTCTTGTCTGGGCTTTCTTTGAACTATGATCCTCAGATCTCAGGCTCCTGAGCAGCTAGGATTACAGGTGTTAGCCTGTATTCATATTTTATCTTGTGTGTATATGTGCATTTTGGAATAGACTGAAACATGAGTTCCTGGAAAACATAGCAGATTATGTTTTCTGCCCTGGCAGTGACATGATGCAATGTCTAGAGAAATTAGAATAGTTTAAATGACAAACTCTATTTTGTCTTATGTTCACAGGTATTTTGATATCCTGAGCTTGAAACACTCATTTTTCTCCTTAATCCTCTTTCATGTCCTTACATAGAAATGAGATTAAGACACACAAGTAAATCAGGACCTCACCCTGAAGGCACCAATAGATATATTCATAGGACAGAGGATTGATCATGACTTGTGATGTGTAGGCAAATCACATTCTCTGTTCTAAACAAAGATACTTGGCCACCATAGACTTGTGATGATTTCCTGAGATGAGCTAGTCTTGCAGCTGTTTCCATCTTTTTGCGTATGCCAAGGTCACAGCCCACTGTCACAATGACTTCATATAGGCTGTTCACACCCTGTTGAGCAGTCAGTCCCAGTCAGCACACAGCATGGACATGAGGACCACTGCTCAGCTCCTGGGGCTCCTGCTGCTCTGCCTTCCAGGTAAGGAAGGATAGCATTTCTCTATCCATTATGGCATGTGCTGACTGGACTTCAGGGAAATCTGTAATAATATGACTAATAATGTAGATATTTGCTTCTATATTTCCAATGCTAGGTGCCAGATGTGACATCCAGATCACCCAGTCTCCATCCTCCCTGTCTGCATCTCCAGGAGACACTGTCACCATCTCCTGCAAAGCCAGTCAGGGTATTAGCAATAATTTAAACTGGTATCAGCAGAAACCAGAAAAAGCCCCAAAGCCTCTGATCATTTACACCTCAAAGTTGGCCTCTGGGGTCCCATCCAGATTCAGTAGCAGTGGATCTGGGACAGATTATTCTCTCACCATCAGCAGCCTTCAACCTGAAGATTTTGCCACTTATTACTGTGAGCAGTACGATAGTAGACCACCCACAGTGATACAATCCATAACATAAACCTCCCAGGGAAGCAGAAGTGAGAGTCTGGGCTGCCCCAGCTGCACTTTCTGGTGCCTCTACCTATTGACAGTGCTTCTCACATGCAGCCTAGCTCTGACAACTATTGCAAGCTTTTCATTCAACTTTCTGCAAAGGCTCCTCTCTATCTCTGTCTCATTTCTCCTCCTCTGTCCCTTGAAGCACAGACATGGCCATGTCTCTTCTCCGATAAGGGCATCCTTTGTGATTCACATAGTAAAACACAACCCAGCTAAAATTCTCCAAGCAGGACTTGTTTTAATACAGGAAATGAGTCTAATCGTTAGCTTCTGTACTCCTAGGTAAATAGAGAAGTTGGAACTAGGAGTGAGGAATGTCCAGTTCTGTGAAGCTCTTCTAGGGTTTTGGGTACATAAGTCTGTGATTCAACAGACTGTGGAAAAATCCAGTGTGAGCTGCTGATGCTCTCACCTGACCCAGCAACCACTCTGGGGTATTCTCCACGCCTCAACTCTGTGAAGATGTCAGCCTGTTTATGTCAAGAAATGTACAAAAACCTAATGTTGCAACTCTGCAACAAAACCAGAGAAGGAAGAGATTTTCACTTCTACAACAAAGGTAATGATCATGATGATGGTTTGAGATAGCTCACAGCCCAGGATCTTCAAGATTTCCAAAATTTTCAGAAATATTCCCCCTAGGTGATGGCATTAGAATTCACTTAAGTTTGAATCTAAGTTTTGTCTACCAATCTGAAATCATAAAAATAAAAAATAAAACTTCGTTAAGTCTTGGAAGAAAGTATAAAAGCTGAAAATTGTATGAAACATAAAAAGTTGTTCAAGATATTACAAAGGACCAAACAATTGAAAGAACTTCCTTAATAAAACAAGTGAGATGTAAAACAATACAAATATAAAAATAGAAAAATAAGTTACTTGCTTTAAGATTTGATTTCCTGCTATGCACAGGTGACTCATACTTGCAATGCTAGCTAATCAGGCGGTTGAGATCTGAGGATCAAGGTTTAAAGCCACCCTGAGCAGGAAAAGCTTTGAGACTCTTATCTATAACTAACTACCAAAAATCCAAAAGTTGAGCTGAGGTCAAAGGCACAGAGTGCTAGCTTTGAGCAAAAATGAAGATCAGAGACACCATCCAGGGTATATGTGAAGATAGATAAATAAGATATAGATATATGTATATATGTTTATGAATACATAGATATCTGTATATACACATTTATGTATATATGCATTTATATTGTAAGTACATATACATGTATATGAATACACATATATCTGCATATATATTTATTCATATATGTATATATTTCCTTAATGATATGCAGAAACTTTTTAATTTGATGTGTTCCCCATTGTCATTTCTTGCCCATATGCAACAGGATTCCAGTTTATAATTACCTATGACCTTATCTTAAAGTATATTTCCTTGTTTTCCTAGGGTTGTTTTAAACTTTCATGTCTCACACTAATATCTGATATATTTGGCATTTTATTGTGAAATTGTGAGATCAAGGAAATAGACTCTATATTCAATATGTATATACCAGTTTTCACATACACAATTTTTGAAGACACATTCTTTTTATTTTAATAGTGAAAATACCATATGCAGGGGTTATTATTACATGGACAGGATAATGCATATATTTCTTATCAAGAATTGTTCCCTCCTCCTTTGTTTCCCTTTCCCAGTCCTCTCCTTCTGTCCCACTGCCCCCCCGCAAAACAACCCCCTCTACCAAAGTTGTAAAGTTCATTTTTCAACATAACAACTTGTACATATTGTTGCAATGGGTCCACATCTATCCCTATTTAAATTATTGGTTTTTTCGCTTCCCCTCCACAAATTATACCAACATCAAATACAGTGAAAGCAGGGGTTATACAGTGGAGGAGGAACATTCAATGCAAAAAAGAAAGCATCTTATAAATAAGTTAGAAACAATCACATGAAAGAAAACACATTTAAATACTGATCTTGGGGATCATTTCACCTAACATCAACTTATCTGACCTTACCTGCTTGTCTCAGACATATACTAGTTATTGCAAATAAGGGAAACCATGGGACCTATGCTTCTTTGGGCCTGACTTACTTCACTTAATTATTTTTTTCCAAGTCTTTCCATTTCTTAACAAATGCGGCAATGGCATTCTTCCTCATGGAGGCATAGAATTGCATTGTGTATATATACCACATTTTCTCGATCCATTCTTCTTCTGAGGGGCATGTGGGTTGGTTCCATATCTTAGCTATGGTAAATGATGCTGCAATACAAAGTTGTGCTGGTAGCTTTCATATGGTCTTGTTTGTGATTATTTGGGTAAATGCCCAAAAGTGAGATTACTGGGTCATAGGGGAGCTCTATGTGGAATCTTTTGAGGAATCTCCATAGTACTTTCCAATGTGGTTGAACAAGTTTACACTCCCACCAACATTGCAGTAGGGTTCCCTTCTGGACACATCCCCTCCAGCATCTGTTGTTATTAGAGTTCTTGATTATAGCCATTCTAACTGGGTTGAGGTGGTATCTCAATGTTGTTTTGATTTTCATTTCTTTTATGGCTGGAGAGGTTGAGCATTTCTTCATGTGTCTATTGGCCATCCTTCTTTCCTCTTCAGAGAAGTTTCTGTGTAAGTCTTTAGCCCACTTATTTATTGGGCAGTTGTTTCTTTGAAGATTTGTTTTGGGGGGATTTAATTTTTAGAGTTGCATGTATATTTTAGATATGAGACTCTTGTCTGTTGTATAGTTAGTGAAGATCTCCAAATCTGTGGGCTTTCTTTTGATCTTGCTAGCTATGTCTGCAACTTCATGCAAGCCCATTTGTCCAACCTTTCTTAGATTGGTTGTTTTTCTGAGTCTCTATTAAGAAAATTTCGGCCTGTGCCAAGGAGACCTAGGGTTTCTCCTATTCCATCCTGTAATACTTTCAGGGTGTCTGCTTTGACTCTGAGGTCTTTGATCCATTTGGAGTTGGTTCTGTTGCAGCGTGATATATAAGGATCTACGTTTAGTTGTCTACAAATAGTTAAACAATTTTGCCAGCAGCATTTACTGAAGAGGCTGAAGACACATTCTTTTGATACTGGTAAATATCTGATGGCTACAGCTATGTAGATTTATTTTGGGTCTTGTCATTTGTTCCATTATTCTCCAACTACCCAAAGCTTGCTGAGGGTGAAAATTTGCACAACTAATCCAAGTAAAATGACTATCCAAGTAGCCTTTCATGAGCTGGATGTCTGGAGGAGCTTTTTTCTCAAGGGAAGATTATACACATAGGTTTACTCTTTCATGATTTTGCAACCTGTCTATAGGTTTAGAGACAACACCTGAGATGTTCTCAGTGTATATTTGCTATGGGTGTGACACAAGATTTCACATTAATGGTGCTAATCTCTCAAATTGTTCTGAAATTACCCACTTTATCTCTATCTATCAAAGTATTTGGGCTTGTAGCTATGAGCCACTACACCCAATATTTTTATAGACCCAATATTTTTAAAATGCCAAATTACGAGCAATAATTCTACATAAAGTTGAGTTTGATCTCCATTGTTTCCCTTCTTCTTAACATAAACCTTTAATGATCTGCCTCTAGGAGTTTTCCAGAAAAGTATTTTCACCTTCAGTTTGACCACAGGAATCAGAAGCTAAGCAGTTACTCTTCCCAAAGGACTATTTTCTAAAAGTCTATTAAATATTACTTCCTCCTCCTATTCTGATTTTATTCTATGTATTCTGTCTGTTTGGTATGTCAGTCAAATGAGTTAATGTGAGTGGTTTAAACAAAAACTGCACCAGGGGAAATCACAAAATTGGCTTTGAAACATGTAGTTTTTGCTTGCTGAGTCCCATGGTGTTGATCCTAAGGACACAATGTCCAAGTTCAAATACAAGTTAATGCAATTGTTGCATTTGTTGCATTCCATAGGAATCAGATGGTGACGATACCTTTCAAGGCAAAGAGGTAGTGTTAAAAATAAAGGTGGACCAGCTGATTGATTCCCTCTCTTAGCACAAGTAGTCAGTGAGTAGTTTGACAGCATGAGGCTGGCATGTAAATTCTGAGCCAGAACCATCACTCTACCATTGTACCTTTTAGTGTCACTCAGAACCCCTACCACTTTGCCAAACATCACATATTTGACATCTCATAGGGAACACACATCTTAGGTAACCAATAACCTTGTGGCCATTAAATTCTCAGAATTAATGATGTCCTTATTCTTATTTTCATGAAGTGCTAAAAAAATGTCTGAGAGGAGGAACTAATTGTATTTGCTACTGAATCTGGCCTTAACCAGATGGAATAGGTCCAGCTTTGTGAATATTGAAGGAAATATCCACAGTTCAGACACGAGGACTAAACACTGACAATCCTAAAGATTGTTATGTCACAATTCCACCACCAGAGGACAAGCCAAATTCAAACTCAACGAAGACCCAGAGTTCAGATCTTGAAAGACATTTACATCATCATATTTCTGGGCATGCAGCCACGTGGGAGGTCACATAAAGTACCTGAATTCCCATTCAACAAAAATTCCCATTCGCTCTATCTGGCAGGTGTTTACAAAGGTGGCTATGATTTATTGGTCAGGTCCAGGCTGGCCTTAGCAGATGGAGTAACTATGCATGTGATGGTCAGCAGCAGAGAGAGAACACCTGCAGATGTTATCTTGGCTTCTGTTAGATAAGTACTTACTGGGCTAGGTAGTGTTGCAGTATACTTCCCTCCTGTTTTAGGGTAATAGCATGAGTTCCCAAAATAACAAAGATTAATAACTTTGGAGGAGCAAATTAAATGTTTTGGCCCTGAGCCAGCAGATAATGAAAGAAAGCAAGGAAGGAAGAAAGGAAGGAAGGAAGGAAGAAAGAAAGAAAGAAAGAAAGAAAGAAAGAAAGAAAGAAAGAAAGAAAGAAAGAAAGAAAGAAAGAAAGAAAGAAAG